CAGCAGTGTTAGTGTCTTCTAAGTCCTCTCTCCTTGGCTTCTTTATGGCCTTTGTCTCCTTGTGTCTTCACATGGTCTTCCCTCTCTACTATTTTCAAAACTTCTTCCTCTTATGAGGACACCAGTCATATTATAAAGGGTCTACCAATATGACCTCATTTTAACTTAATTGCCTCTTTAAAGGACCTATCCCCAAATACACCTTGAGATACTAAGGGTTAGGACTTCAAGATATGAATTTTTAGGGAACACTGTTCAGCCCATAATAGATGCCGTATCCATTATGGTACTAATGCCCCCTGCAACCTTGTAGCACACAGCAAACATGAGGACACAACTGGGAAATCAGGAAACAGAAAATATTATTAAAGCAAATCTTCATTTTTATAGCTGTAACTAAGGAGTTTGCTATAACAGTTAAAGAACTATGAACACTTTACAAATGTTTATGTTGTTTTCCTATTGATACACTAGGAAACAAACTTTATTGTCTTTGAATAAACAACCATGGCTCTGCATGCTAATTGCTAATAAGTCTATATTTATGAAGGACTCTGGGTCTTTCTTTTTCTATACCAAACTATAGATATTCGGTATCTCTCTGATTTGAGTTCAGATACACGACAAATTGTACACGGTCATCTGTTGACACAGATTTCTTTTTAACAGATCTTAGTTTAAAAAAGTCATAGATAACTGTGAGTTCTGTATAAACCGGTGGATAGTAAGTTAGTTCCTTTGTTTTGACTTATAAGCCTCAACTTCACCGCAGAATAAAGAATGTAGGCCAAAGAAAGCATAATCGGTCACTCGTATAGAACAGTATTGTTTCTATAATTTGAAGCTTTCTGAATTGACGAGTTCAGGCCTGATGTAACTGTAAAAAGATTACTTAATGAATAGACTATATGGAAATTGTACAAAATGTTATTAACTTTAATCATTAATAGCTTAAACAGCACTATATTACTCACTGCTATTCAAAATCAAAACCTGTTTTTGAATCCCCAGGAAGGCGGCATGTGTACACTACCATGCCACCTTGAACTTAGGGGTGTGTCAACACATATTTCAACAGAAACTTTGGCTTTAGGAAAGAGTCACAAACATTTAAAAGAATGGCTTTAATCGTCATTTTAAGTATACGGTAGGGGGAAAGTGTGCTTTAATTAAATATACATCATACCAGTGATGCTGGCAGGGGTGAAAGTTATTCCTAATGTCGACAGCTATAAAACCTAGTTTATACATGACAAGACAATGAAAGGAAAAAGCAATCCCTTTGAAACAAGATTTTAAAATAAAAAATGTTCACAGTGGTTTGTATCAACATTATGCATTTTATGACAAGACCATGTACAGATTCAGAGCACCCTAGGGCTCTCTTTATATCTTAAAGAAAACGAGCATATACATTATTATGGGTTGTACTGAATTAAAAAAAGATCAATTGTACACTTACTCCTTAGACAGAATAAACTGTCTTGGGATGTACAGCTATAACACCATCATTAAAATTGTTTGCAAAAGGAACAGAGAATTAAAAAACAAAACACTTTTTTTTTTTTGAAGTGGAGAGTCTTTCATTTGCTGTTATAACCAGCAAATGCCATTCACTAAACCAAAAATGAAAGGAAGGACCCCCACAAACACAGATCTATCTGAGCAAGCTGACCAGTACACATTACAGTCTTAAAAATGAAGGTTATATACTATATGTTACAAGTCCCAACTAGGCAGTGTCAAAATGACATCTATTTCTTTGCTTGCTTTGTGATCATACCCCTTGGAGGTGTTACAGGTCTCGTGGCATTTGGCTTCTTTTTCTCTGCAGGCTTTACAATCTGAAAAGAACACATTAGTGTTTCGTCCACACTCATCATGGCACCTGCATTGTCAAACTCTCCACAATAATTGGGTGCAGAAAACAGAGTGACCAACTGTCTCTTTGCAAAAAATTCATATCCATCTTCAACCACCTGATGGGCTCTACAAATAAGATCCAAATCATGCTTATGGAGAAATTTTGCAACCACTTCTGCACCAAATGTGAAGGACACTCCTCTGTCATTTTCACCCCAGCCTAAGACATCTTTATCGGGGTCAGACCACAAAAGATCACAAAGAAGACCTTGATCTGGTACATCAGTTGGTCGCATAATTCGCCGAATCTGCTCCATAGATTGAAGATCTGGTGATAAACCTCCATGACAGCAGAATATTTTCTCATCCACGATGGCTGCTATCGGTAAACAGTTAAAACAGTCTGTGAAAGTTTTCCATAGTTTAATGTTGTGTCTTCTTTCACATTCATCATAAAATCCATAAATTCTATTGATGCTGGCACATTCATGGTTCCCTCTGAGAAGAAAAAAAATCTCGGGATATTTGATTTTGTAGGCCAGTAAGAGGCAGATAGTCTCCAATGACTGCTTCCCCCTGTCCACATAGTCCCCAAGAAACAGGTAGTTGCTTTCTGGCGGGAAACCTCCATACTCAAAAAGTCGAAGCAAATCATAGTATTGCCCATGGATATCACCACATATTTTGAGTGGTGCTTCAAGTTCTAGTAGGATAGGCTGACTGAGAAAGATCTCACGAGACTTTAAGCACAATCCTCTGATTTCATTCTCTTGTAGCTGGACATTCTTACCAGGCTTGGACCCTCTCATTTAAAGGGTCTGCAGATTCTACCACCAGAGCTGTTCATGCTCACACTCCATCACTCACAGCATTTATATTCCAACAATGTTTTAGGAGGACAGCATCAAGGCAAAAAGCAGTTAAAATGCAGCCAATTTCACATCTAATGTCCAAATCAAAAAGGCGA